GGGACAGACACACAGAGAGAAACATTGATGTGAGAGATGCATTGACCCATTGCCTCCCACACCCACCAGAATTGAACCCGTGACCCTTCCGTCTGTGGGCTGATGCTCTATCCATGGAGCCAAACCGGCTAGGGTGCAGCTCTTCTTTATTAAAAGCTGGTTACTGACTGGCCTGAAAGAGCAAAACTGTTCACTTACAAAAGCATTCTTCCCGATTCCCACACGTGACAGCTGTTGCCCCAATCCCAGTCAGCCGTATGAAAGGAGACTGAGCCCCAAGCACAGGGCTTCCAGCCACTGTCCCCCTGCACTGCGTGGGAAACTGGGTTCTTGAATCCTAGCAAAGATTGTCTGCATCTCAGAAAAACACACATTCCCCAATGACCTCTCCATGGACTCCAGACACTGTTCCTAATCCTTCTTTTTCTACAGGAAAACCCAAATGTTGCAGAAACTTTCAACTGCCTCCAGGCAATGCTGGGGCTGACTGTGGTCTAGAACCTGAGTTCAATGTGCTGAGGGGGCGATATTCATTCCACAAGCACAGGGGTCCTCAAACTACGGCCCGCGGGCCACATGCAAATACAAATATTGTATTTGTTCCCGTTTTGTTTTTTTACTTCAAAATAAGATATGTGCAGTTTGCATAGGAATTTGTTCATAGTTTCTTTTTAAACTATAGTCCGGCCCTCCAAAGGTCTGAGGGACAGTGAACTGGCCCCCTGTTTAAAAAGTTTGAGGACCCCTGCACAAGCATTTACTGTTAGGTTTGATCAAGCAATTGAATTGATACCCCTCCCCCGGGAACTGGCTTTCCAGGTCATTTCACTATGGACAGTCCCTTTGCTGAGACCACATTTCACTTGCGGTGACCACATCCCATTCTCTTCCCTCTGGGTATGCATAAAGAAGTCTCCGCCCAGGAAAAAGCCCGCCAAAAGTCCTTTATAAGCCGCTGACTCCTGTCACGGGGGCTGGAGCCATCCAGGCTCAGCCACCTGGTGTGCGGATGATCAAATCAATTCGCGTTGTGCGTTCCTACTTCGGCGATCTAACATGTACTAAGTGCCAAGCCCAGTGCTAGGGCACAAAGATGAATGTGACACGCAGAGCAGGCCAATCAAAGGACAAGGGGATATGGATGCAGCGAAGGAGGCTATGAGATAAGAGCAAGTTACAAGCACTTTCCAGAAGTCAAAGATGTGTAAAATCCTTTAAATAAATCTCTATAAAACATCTACACCTACATCTACACCTACACCTACACCTACATCTACACCTATTCCTATATTTCTCACTTTTGGAGTCGTCCTAGCAATTGCAGCTCCAAACAGCATGTTCAGGAGGAATCCTGGACTTCCAGGTCTTCCCACACTCTCCTGATGGGTCTTTGACCCTCCCCTGTCTTACAGGGAGCGCATGCTCCTTGGAGGCCCGGAGGGGGGCTCCAGCATATCCACCACCTGCCTGCCCTCAGGCGCTCTGTGTGACAGACCAGAGCACCTGGGAGTGAAGGGGGCTGGAAGGAGGTGGCAAGCGAACCAGGACGCTGGGCCGAGAGCACCAAGGGGCATAACTCCTGGGCCCAGCTCCAAGGACAGCATAGGTGGCACAGAACAGAGCCTGCCAGCAGCTGCCTCCCTGGCCAGCGCGAGCTTTCTCCTTGAGAACCTCGCCTGGCCTGCAGTAAAGTGCCATTTGCAGGGTCTGCCCTGTTTCCACAGGGCTGAGGGGGAGGAGGGAGAAGAGTAGCCAGGCTTGCCGCCACACTGACCGTGTGCCAGGCCTCAGGGAGCGGGGGGGCGAGGGGGGGACCCTTTCTCCTGTCTGAATAGGTTCTCAGAGGGCTGGGGGTGGGGTGGGATTCTTATTCAGGAGT